CATCACAGAGGTGACAACCAAGAACAGCCATCACAGAGGTGACAACCAAGAATAGCCATCACAGAGGTGACAACCAAGAACAGCTGTCCCAGAGGGTTTATTTGTATTACACTTTCAGGTCACACTCCACCATTGAGGGATGTCAAGACAGGCACTCAACGCAGGAGCCTGAAGCTGAAACTACAGTGGAGTGCTGCTTACTGGCTTGCTCACAGGCTGGTGCTCAGGTAAGGTGTTTTTTGTTTGTTTGTTTGTTTGTTTGTTTGTTTATCTGTCTGTTTTTTATACAGGCCAGGTCCACCTGCTTAGAGATGGTAGACCATCAAAGTAGGCTGGACCCTCCTACAATCATTTGCCATCAAGATAGTCTCTCACCAGGGTTGTAGACAATTGCTCAGCAGTTGAGAACTGACTGCTCTTCCAGAGGTCCTGAGATCGATTCCCAATACCCACACGGTGGCTCACAACAGTCTATAATGGGATCCAATGCTCTCCTCTGGTGTGTGTGTATGTGAAGAAAGAGCACTCATATACATAAAATAAATAAATACATTTTTTAGAAAAGATAATCTCTCACAAACCTAACCACAGATCAATCTTAGCAGTCAATTCCTCAATCAAGGGTTCTTTTTCCAAGTAACGCTGACTTGTGTCAAGTTGACAAAAACTAAGCAGTCAAAGGCCTACCAAAGTACTTCAGAGAGTCAGAAAGAAGTGGAAAGGTAGGCCTGCTGGTCTGTGGTGCATCTACCTACTTTCAAAAATACAAGAGAGCTTCTTTCCTTTTTCATCTATGTGGCCATACCACAATAGCAACTGAATTCCAGGGTTCAAATAATGACCATGCAAGAAAGCGGGCAGCTGCCTTAGTTCCAGTTACAAATCTAAGGAGGGAGCAACTAATTGCCTAATTTTTAAAAAGTAGCATGTATTCATCGTTTAAAAAAAAAAAAAACTAAGAGATTTGGGGCTAGAAAGATGGCTCAGTGGTTAAGAGCACTGACTGCTCTTCCAGAGGTCCTGAATTCAATTCCCAGCAACCACATGGTGGCTCACAACCATCTGTAATGGGATCCAATGCACTCTTCTGTTGTATCTTAAGAGAGCAATAGTGTACTCACATAAAATAAATACATAAAAAAAAATCTTTAAAAAAAAAAACCCAGGCGGGGCTGGAGAGATGGCTCAGCGGTTAAGAGCACTGA